AAATTTGGGTGGCAAATCAAGCGAGTTTGGGTGTTATAGCTGTTGCTCTCACTCCACTTCTTCTTTTGTTTGCCTCTGCCATCACTCTCTTATCTCCGCCTCTGCCTACCTCTTCACCGCCTCACCCCGCTTCCACCTTCTCCGCGCCTCCACCCTTCCCTGTCGTTCATCGTCATCCGCCTCTGCTACTCCCCCTGCCCTCCCTCCCTCCTGTCTTCCCTGTCGTCCATCGTCATCCGCCCCTGCTACTCCCCCTGCCCTCCCTCCCTCCCTCCCGTCTTCCCTGTCGTCCATCGTTATCCGCCCCTGCTACTCCCCCTGCCCTCCCTCCCTCCACCCTTCCCTGTCGTTCATCGGCATCCGTCCCTGCTACTCCCCCTGCCCTCCCTCCCTCCCTCCNTCTTCTTCATCTTCTTCTTCTTCTTCATCTTCCGTCGTTACGCGCATGTGTTGTCCAGATTTGCTGGCCCGCGGACACAGATCTTGATCAGGCGGCGGGGCAGGGGGGAGGGGTGTAGTCGGCTTGCCTCTTTCGTTACCCAGCCACTCATGATCAAACATGCCAGTCCGTTCTCGCTGGCGGCGCCCTGTGAAACACCCACGCCTCAGCGCAGCACCCGAACAGCGAGAGGGGTTTGCCGGGGAATGGAATGTCAGTCGGTTAGAGTGCGTCGGACGAGAGTCCCCCACCTCTCCTGTACGCACGTAAATGGACTCTAGCCGACAGACGTCAGCGTGTTTGCGCACGCCGACACGCAGGTGCACTGACGGTCGGTCGCCCCCTCCCCTTCCTTCCCGGCCCACACACGGTGCGAGGGGCAAGTCGCCGGCGTGAGCACAATACGTCTTAGTTAGCGGGCATCTCTCTCTCTCTTTCTGCTTCTTTCTTTCTCCTCTCTCTCTCTCTCTCTCTCTCTCTCTCTCTCTCTCTCTCTACACACACAGCAGGTGTTGATTAGCTGCTTGCCAAACAGGTGACATTCAGTCAGGTGGACCGGATGATCGTGGATTGCATCATGGCAACGTGCGCTAAAGCTTATCGGCCGCCGCGCTGCCAGTAATGCGGATCCTTGCCCCAATGTTATTCTAAGGCACGCATTGTAAGGAGCGAGCTTAGCTAGAACCTACCTGCGCGAGAGATTATCAAGGTGTTTACCTGTGGAGGGGCTTAGCGGGTGCGCGCACTTTAGTAGCGCTTTAGCGAGTCGCGTGTGTAGGGAGAGAGAGAGAGAGAGGAGGGGGGAGAGAAGCGCGTGAGGTTGGGAGTTGTGGGTGGTAGAGTGAGATTATACTGGGGGGGGGGAGAGCAAATTTGGGTGGCAAATCAAGCGAGTTTGGGTGTTATAGCTGTTGCTCTCACTCCACTTCTTCTTTTGTTTCCTCGCCATGCACTCTCTTATCCGCCCCGGCCTCTGCTACCTCTTCACCGCCTTACTCACCCCGCTATCCACCTTCTCCGCGCCTCCACCCTTTTCCCTGTCGTCAATCGTCAATCCGCCTGCTGCTTACTCCCCTGCGCTCCTCCCTCCACCCTATATCCCTGTCGTTGCATCTGCATCCGTCCTCGCTAACCCTCCCTGCCCTCGCCTCCTGTCTCCCTTGTCCGTCCATTCGGGTCATCCGCCCCTGTACTCCCCCTGCCCCCCTCCCTTCCACCCTTGCCCTGTCGTCATCGCATCGCGTCCTGCTACTGACTTTTTCCCCCTGCCCTCGCTCCCTCACCGCCTCCCTGTCGTCCATCGTCATCCGCCCTCTGCTACTCCCCTGCCCTCCCTCCCTCCTCCCGTCTTCCTGTCGTCCATCTTATCCGCCTCTCTGCTACTGCCCCCTGTGCCCTTCGCCTCCCTCCCGTCCTTCCCCGTCGTTTCATTCGGCCCCGTCCCTGCTACTACTCCCCCTGCTCCTCCCCTCCCCCCTCAGGAGGTCTTCCCTGTCCCGTTCATCGGCATTCCGTCCTGCTCTCCCCCTGCCGCTCTCCTCCCTCAGGAGGTCATGCCCTGTCGCATCGTCAATTCCGCCTCTGCTACTCCCCGCCTGCCCTCCTCCCCCCTCTACCGCCTTCCCTGTCGTTCATCGTCATCGCGCCTCTGCTACCCCCCCTGCCTCCCTCCATCGCTGGCCTTTCCCTGTCGTCCATCGTCATTCCGCCTCTGCTACTCCCCCCTGCCCCCCTCCCTCTCACCCTTCCCTGTGCGGTCCATCCGATCCGTCCCTGCTACTCCCAGCTGCCCTCCCTCCATTCCTGGCCTTCCCTGTTCTTTCATCGGCCATCCCGTCCTGCTACTCCCCCTGCCTCCTCCCTCCCTGCCCTCCCTTCGCCTTGTCGCAGTCGTCATCCGTACTGCTGAACTCCCCCTGCCCGTCGCCTCCTCTCCTCCCTCCTTCCCTGTCTTCCATCGTCATCCGTCCCTGGGCTACTCTGCCCCCTGCCCTCCCTCGCCTTCCCTCCCCCTTCTCCTGTCTTCCCATTCGTGCATCCGCGTCCCGCTACTCCCCCGCGCCCTCTCGCTCCCTCGCCTCCTTGCCTTCCCTGTCGTTCCATCGTCAATCCTCCCTGCTACTCCACCCTGTTCCTCCCTCTATCCCTCCCGCCCTCCCTACTGTCCCCCATCTCTTCATCGCGGCATCCTCCCGCTGGCGGCGTCGCGGCGTCGGGTTCCCCCCTCCTCCCCGTTCACAATGCAGGCTCGCTACCTCTCATCGCTCGCTCCCTGACTGGTGGCCTGGAGCGACGATCGAACCCCGCCGCCGCGCTAGCAGCAGTTGTCTCGCGGTCGACGGCACCGGTTTACACGTCTGATATTGTCTGCGCCCATCTGCGACGGCAGCAGAAATGCTCGCAAGATGTCGCTGCGGTGGCCGCTTCCTCTGTAACGTTGTGTTGCTGCGTCAGCGTTGGCGTCCCATGGATGATGTTGATCCCCCTAGCCCCGAATTTTCATCGGTGCTGTTCGAGGTTTTCCCCAATCGGTACGGTACGACTCGTGAAGTTTTCCCCATCGCGGGATATGCCATCAGGTGTTGCAGTCGTTGGCAGCAGCGTTGTAGTAGGCAGAGCTTCTAGGTTAGCGGGGAATGTTGGAGGCCGTGTTTACACTCGCAGTAAGCGAGAGCGCAGACGCGCCGAATCGCGGCTAGTAGGTCAGTGAAAGCCGAGTGAAAGTGGTTGGGTGTTGCTATCCCCCGGGCGTGGAGGGAGGTCACGTGATAACGTTGACGATGACGTTCAAAACGTTAAACCTAACGTTAACCCTCACTCCAACACCGCCAACACTAACCTTCACACTAAATATATATGTGTCGCCGCGCTATATATAGGCAGTGTTATCCACAAAAATTAATCTATGGTGTGGGGACAGATATCATGATGCAAAAACCCTGACCCTAACCCTAATCCTAACCCTAACCCTAACCCTAACCCTAATCCTAACCCTAACCCTAACCCTAACCCTAACCCTAACCTTAACCCTAATCCTGACCCTAACCCTAATCCTAACACTATTCTAACACTAGTGCTGCCACGTTGCGGTCACCTCCCTCCACGCCCGGGGGATAGCATTACCCAAAGTGGGTTTGGCTGCCGAGCTAATCCCGCCACCTAGTGAGAGAGAATCGTACCTGTGCGTGGTGTGCTGCGTAGGAGTTGGTGGCGCCATCTGTGTGACGCGGCGGGAGTTCCGTCCGCGTGTAGACGTGGGAAAATATAGCAAGCTGTAGAAGTGATATCTAGAATTATGTACCGTTGTTCTTAGCAATTCTGCTTTTATTCATCATATCATCATCGTCATCTTATTATTATTATTATTTTTTATTATTATTCGCAAAAAATGTAATTGCCTATGTTGTTATATATTTCTGTTGACGTTGTTGTTATTACAATTATTATTGTTATCATCATCATCATCATCATCATTTCGATCATCATCATCATCAGCAGCAGCAGCATCATCATCATCATCATCAGCAGCAGCAGCATCATCATCATCATCAGCAGCAGCATCATCATCATCATCATCATCATCATCAGCATCATCACCATCATTAACAAAAATGTAACGACGTCTCTCCCGGTTCGTGTTTCAGATGCCCTCCGGCATTCGCAGACAGAAGGCTTCTCAGAGCTGATGCTGTATGACTACCCGTGGTTCCACGGCACGCTGTCGCGCGTCGACGCCACGCAGCTCGTGCTCATAGGTGGCACCAGCGGGCACGGTACATTCCTCGTGCGACAGAGCGAGACGCGTAAGGGGGAGTACGTGTTGACGTTCAACTTTCAGGCTCGTGCGAAGGTGAGTTTCGCGCACGTGCTGGGGGAGGGGGGAGAAGGGGAGAGGGTTTCGTGCCTCTCCGCTCTCAGAGCGTGGATTTTATCTTGTCGCTCTCGCTGCCCACGACTTTTTCTTGTTGCTTTCCTATTGCCATGTTCGTTTCACTGATACTGTTCTCTTGTCACTTCCCAATGACGTTCTCTTGTCGCTTTACACTGACGTTCTCTTGTCGCTTAACACTGACGTTCTCTTATCACTTTGCAGTGATGTTCTCTTGTCATTTTGCACCGAACGTTCTCTTGTCACTTTGAACTGACGTTCTCTTGTCGCTTTACACTGACGTTCACTTGTCGCTTTACACTAACGTTCTCTTGTCGCTTTACACTGACGTTCTCTTGTCGCTTTACACTGACGTTCTCTTGTCGCCTAACACTGACATTCTATTATCACCATTAACTGAACGTTCTCTTGTCGCTTTGAACTGAACGTTCTCTTGTTGCCTCTTGCAGCACCTGCGCATGACGATCAACACCGACGGCCAGTGCAGGGTGCAGCACCTGTGGTTCCAGACTGTGTTTGACATGCTGGAGCACTTCCGCACACACCCGATCCCGCTCGAGTCTGGCGGCAGCTCTGACGTCACGCTCACCGACTACGTGATCGCATCGCAGGCGCCGCCATCGCCGCAGCCGCGTCGCCGCCGCCGCGTCGTGTCGGTCGGCGCCGCCAGCAACGACAGCGCCACGACGGCGGCGGGCGCGCCGCTGCACGGCAGCACGCAGCAGCTATCATCGTCGGAGGCGGTCAGTGGCGAGGCGGGCGTGGCGAACGGAAACACGAACCAGAACAACCACCAGGGCGGCAGCCGCGCTGTGGAGAATATGTACTCGTTTGTCTGAGCATGCGGGCGGGGGGTGGGGCCAGCGGAATAGTGTGGGGGTGGGGCAGGGGGAGGGTGGGGTGAGGCAGGGGGAGGGTGGGTTGGGGCAGGGGGAGAGGGAGTCAGAATGGGGGAAAAGGTGGGGTGGGACAACCCTTTTTAATATCTATTGTACTGTCTGTGTATTTATCAGGGGCTCGTTGTCAGAAGCAAAATTACGTTTAACATTGGTCTTAACATTTAAATTAACATGTTTTTCTCTCGTAGATCGGACCTCTATACACTGCGTATGAGAAACTCGTAACTTGACCACGTTTCTGTCGACGACGGTCTATGAGGAAATGTTCATGTTAACACTTGCAGTTTAGACTTAAGTTTTGTTTTTGACAACAGGCCCTAGCTCTCTAGTCCTATATCATGTGCGCTCGGTAAAATACGCGAGCGATGAGGGCACATGGGTGGTTTCGATGGGGTGGGGAGGGAGACAGTAGCTGGGCATGTTTTCTGAGCGTACATCATACGTGGTCGGGGGAGCAGGGTTTAGGGGTGATCGGTGCCCTAACCACACCTTGTTGTACCGTACACCGGAGAATGAACTAGTATGCTATTCCTTTCATCCCCGTGATTCCGTGCCGTTGTTCCTTCCCCGTATATCACCATATGCATGTATGTATGTATGTATATATATATACTGTATGGCGGGCAATGCCGTTCCAATAACGCACGCACGCACGCACACACGCACGCACGCACACACGCTCGCTCGCTCGCTCGCACGCACGCACGCACACACGGATATGTTATTGCAATGGTATTGCCAACGCCAGTTATTGCAAGCTGTTCGCTTCGCGTGGGTGCCCTCCTCTCTCTCGATATTGTACAATTACGCAGGGCACACGAGCTTTCAACATGCACTCAATGCAATTACAAGCCTCTGTCTGGTAAACACGATTATGTACTATGATGTCGATAATAGTCTAGTTGTTGTAACGGACTCGATGAGTTTGCGAGCGAGCGAGCGCGCGCGCGCGTGGGAGTCGTTCGTCATTGGTGTTGTCTTTCCCCGTTTCAACGTGTCTCGTGCGTGTGAAAGAGAGAGAGAGAGAAAGAGAGAGAGACAGAGAGAGAGAGAGAGTTGGTTCGCTATTTTGCCTTGATGATGTGGTGCCACGTGGGGGCGGACGGCTATTTCTGCGTTAGTGAATGTCACGGCGATGGGTGCGGGCCTAAGGTTTAAAGTTTTTTTTCAAGGCCTGCGGCTTTGAATTCCTCTTCCTATCCTCCTCTACTCTGTCTGCGACATAGGAACGCGCTCTCCTCACGGGCACGGGCACTTACGGGCGTCGCGCACGCGCACATCATCTTTCGACATACGTGTGTGGTACATACATGTGCAAGCACGAGAGCGACCGTGGCGACATCTACCGCCGCAATGTCTCACACTTTGACGTGGATGTGGGGACACCTTGGGATGTAGGTCTACAATTATTCGCCTTCGCTTCGCCACCTGGCAGAAACACTGGGCTGTAAGGGTAGAGCTACTTTGGATGCATATCTTTTGTTCGGAGCGATGGTTTCTGTAACCGAGGGGAACTGCGTTCCCTAATCCGAATGCAATTTATACGCAGGTCGAAGATTATTTTTGTGGAACGAGTGTGTTTAATAAGTGCCAATGCCTTCCGTATACATTTCCCTTTGTATCAAGGGTTGTCAGCACATATCCGCGTCGTGTTGATTGCGTGTGTTTGACGTACTTGCGTGCTATAGATGTTTCTGTTTTTATTCTCCGCCAGACAAGTTTAACGTCGCCGTTAAAGTTTTGTAACGTAGAAAGTTAGAGCAGACCGATTCTGAGTCTAGAGTCTGAGTTGAGTTTGAGTCTCACGTTGCCAATTGTGGTGACGTCACACGAGGTGGATTATATACGAGTGGACGGCGCTTCTTGTGTTAACCGCAGTGTCACCTCTTTGGATATGTACATATATATATACATATATATATATATATATCTTGATATATATATATATATATCAGGGGAAAATAATGACAGATTGATGAATCAGGGGGGGGGGGTGAATAATGACAGATGATCTGTGATCTGTGATTATTCACCCCTCATATACATACCGGTGCATTGTTGCCATCACGTTATCTATACGGTCAAAGGTCAAAAGGTCCAGCGGCCAAGAGGTCAAATTGGGGGCGTGGCATCCCACCAATGAAGCGCCTTCATACATAGTTATCGTCTGGTTGTCTGCTTAGAGTTAAGCTGCAGGCAGCTTCACGTATGGTCGAGCGTTTCGGGGGGAGGGGGGAGGGGGTTAAGAATCCTACTCGTGAAATTAGATAGTTATTTGCGTTCAGTTGAAGATGTTGTTGTTGTTGTTGTTGTTGTTGTTGTTGTCGTTGTCGCCGTCGTCGTCACCGTTGTTGTTGTTATCCGTCGTTCGTGCCTTCGCCACTGCTATTGTGCTCCCGTCTGCTGCACTTATGTGTGGCTACGCTGATGCAAACGCACACACCGCTTTCCCTCTGAAACCACAATCTGATCCTTGACTGTAATTTTGCCCTGTTTTTTGTTATCGCTAGTCCTTTGTGATGGATTCCCAGTATGTTTTCCTCACCCCCTTCTCTCTTTACCCCCCCCCCTATCTCTCTCTCTCTCTCTCTCTCTCTCTCTCTCTCTCTCCCCCTATCTCTCTCTCTCTCTTTCTAATATCCCTCTCCCCCCTCTCTCTCTCTCTCTCTCTCTCTCTCTCTCATACGCTTTTTCTCTCTCTACCCCCTCTCTCTCTCTTTCTAATATCCATCTCCCTCTCCCTCTCTCTCATAAGCTATTTCTCTTCCTCTATCTGTTCCACCTCACTCTACCCTCTCCATACCCCTCGCTCTCACATGTCTTGTTCAACTTTTCTTTCTCTCTCCCTATACCCTTACAGTCTCAATCCCGTCCTCATCTCTCTCTTCCTTTCTCTCTCTCTCTCTCTCTCTCACACACACACACGCGCACGCACACGCACACGCACACACACATATAGTCTCTTGCTACCCGTCTCTCTAGTCCCACGCTTGGGCCGTGAAGATAGCCAGTGCGCGTCAAATGGTGTAGTCATGTTCGTGGTTTTGTTGTTGCGATTGTTGTTGTCAACTGTCGCGTCTGCGTGTTTGCGTGTTTGTGTGACGTCACGGTCTCGTGGACACAGACCGTGGCAAATGAATCTATGTTCATAACGCTATGCTAGATGTATTTCGTAATACCAGAAATGTGCGGTGCACGCGCGCTTTTCACCATTTATCTTTTATTTTATTCAACGTGTATGCCTCCCCGAACTGCGGCTCAGCATTGACCTAGGCGCAATACCACCTAGTGGGGAATGTTTCTGGTGGGCATGTGGAAGGGACGCAGTTATAAACTGCTCCCGCCTCTGTCGCAGTATGCACCTTTTATGGCGGCGACTTGACAACGTCGTGCCCCGCTTATTGTCGCGTTTGTTTTATTTGTTATAAGTACGTATATGATTTCGCGTTTCGGTGACGATAGATGGCGCTAGTGTAACTCACGGGCCATTTTTTTTAGAAAAAAAAGCAACGATGTGTGCCAGTGTAGGCATGGAGCAACGCGCTCGCGGCCTGATTTTTTTATACCGCATACTACAGAGGTATTTGTGCGTTTTGATTGACGGATTCTACTTGCCTAGTCCATTTCTTAAGAAAAAGAAACTGGAGTAGGATAACTGGGCGAGGCATTGTTGTTGTCGGGTAGAATAGGCGGGGACGGGGTAAGAATGAAAACGTGTTTAGCGGTTGAATTAGGCCGGGGCCTGCTAAGAGGAAGAAGAAGAATAAGAAGAAATGTAAGTGCCCGAGAGACGAAATCTGCTATCTAGTGTCAGCAGAGCTTGTTTGTTAGAGGGTGGGGTGTCTCACTGAGATAGACTCGAACCCTATACCCTGCAAGCACGGGAGGTCTCGCTGACGCAGCTTGCCCCCTTGATGTGCACGTCGTAGCACCCCCGAAGCAAGCGTGCTTCACTACAAGAGTGTATTTTTATAAATGAAAGCACTGCGTGTAATTACCTACACATATAAGTTATTTCGTAATTTATTATCGATCTTTATGTAATTCTAGGTACTAGTGTTATTGCGGTCTTGCGCCTGTAAGCATGTATCTATTATTCACACCCTCGTACTACATACAGTGATACACCTATATATATATATAATAATATATATGTATAATATATATGTGGGTTGTACCGCTCTATATGTACTCAAAATATTCAAGACTATACGTACGCGAGTGAGAATGTATCCAACCGATTGCTTAGCAATATCAACTCAGTATCCGTCCATCAAGAGAACGACTGCTTTGCGTGTGCACCCATTTCATAATATAGCTGTAATGTTCTCCAAGTCTCGGTAATAATCCCCTCGTCAAATGCCCCACCAGGGTGCATAAACATCAGTGCGATAATACCACTCATAGGCGTAGATATTTAGGATGATATCTACGCCAGTGGTGTCACTGCCGCCTTAGAATATCCCTTATGTAGTAAACTCCATATAAACAGTACGCTGTTGCCACGAACGTGCGCGCACCCTGGTGTGACGTTCACGCGAAGCTTCGTCCGATCGTAGACATGGATATAATCTTGATGATGTATTAGACAGTATTATTATCCATCCATCTACGCCCCTTCTCTTGCTGTATGGATACGTTGACTGCGGTGTAGCAATGGCGTCTGTTTTTGCTATCATTGACACATGGATCACGTGGTATACACAATTGTCGTCTGCTTTACCCGTGTCGCATCGGGCGAACAGTACGGTAGAAGCTTTCCTTCGTCAGAGGGCTAATTATTGGTGTCTATCTGTGCCGTGGTACGTCACTCTTTTCTTACACACTGGGGTCGATATTTGAAATTACTTACGTGTAATTGAATCTGTAATAAATTCGATATTTATTCCTTGTGAAAAACGTTGTTGCCGAGGCATTTTGTTCTATGCAGGTCGTAGCGGAGCGGTGTCTGCTAGTGTAGTACCTTCCACCACCACCATGCTTCCCCGTCTACCACCTTGCTTGTCGTACGCAACCACCCGTGCATACGATATACAGGGTCCCACAGCCCTTGAAAGTCCTTGAATTTTGTCCTTTGTCCTTGAAAGTCCTTAATTTATACTATCCGCGAGAGGGGAGTAAGGTATGGCAAGCCATTCCTTTCAAAACTAAAATGGGATATAGAATTAATATAACTTTGAATAGAAACAATACTTCCATAAATAGAAAACACAAACAGGAATATAAGTAATGCAAGTCTGAATAGAAACAATGCGTTTTGAATTGAAAACAATACTTCCATAAACGGAAAACACAAAGAGTAAAATGAAATATTCGCTATAGCATCTGCGCAGTACTGTGAATTGAACGAACGCAACTGTGAATGGAATAAATGAAAAGGCTTCCGGATTTCAACACTTGATGGCGTGCAAGGCTGCAATACAATCTCCAAGGCACGTACACGTGCGTGCGTGCGTGCGTGCGTGTGCACGTACACGTGTGGGCGTGCGTACGTGCGTGCGTGCGTGCGTGTGCACGTATACGAGCGTGTGTGCGCGCGTGTGGAAGTACACGTGCGTGCGTACGTGAGCACGTATACGTGCGTGCGTGCGTGTGCACGCACACGTGCGTGCGTGCGTGCGTACGTGCGTGCGTGCGTGCGTGCGTGTGCACGTACACGTGCGTGCATGCGTGCTTGTGTGCGTGTGCACGTACACGTGTGTGCGTGCGTGCGTGCGTGTGCACGTACACGTGCGTGCGTGCGTGCGTGCGTGCGTGTGTGTGCACGTACACGTGCGTGCATGCGTGCACGTACCGCATGGTAATGAACCGGTAGTGATTTAATAGTGGTCACGTGTCATATAGTGTTTTGGTTTCTTACAAACTCCACGACAGATGGCGCTCTCGCTCTGGCTCAATTACAAACTCCACGACAGATGGCGCTCTCGCTCTGGCTCAATTCTACCACTGCCACCAAACTCCACGACAGATGGCGCTCTCGCTCATAGGCTCAATCAAACTCACTGATCTCTATAATATAATCTGGATAGGGTATTGGCTACGTGTCAGTGACGCTAAACGTCCGCCATCTTTCCGCTCGTAAAAGAAGGGATCCGATCTAGCTGCGAACGTCTGCTAGCAATAATTATAAGCAACTCTCTCGAGACGCTAAAAACATTTTAGATTTATTTGTTAGAGAATGCCATCCTGTGCAGCCATNAATGAATTATGTTTGTCTAAACTTAAAAATAAAACTGTGCCAATTGGAAGGACTGTCAGTGCTGTAACTGTGATCCTGTACATAAAGTAAGAAATTTGTCAAATTTTTATCAACAGATATTTGTGATTGTATGACAAAATAGCCAAACCGCATCATGTACACCTATGTGTCCTTCACTATAAACAAATTACGCCAGTCATATGCAGATGTGTCAGACACAAAGATCTTCAGTACCACTACCCAGGGTATGAGAATAAATATAATGATGTACTAAATAATAACAGGTTTTTAAAATAGTAACATACCACAGAAACGCCAGCACTAGTCTGTGGTGGCTCCTCTGGAAGATGTTCCAGTTGGCTGTCATCATCCTCGCCAACCTTTCTGCTTGAATTCTTTTTTACTCGAATGGGCACTTTCTTCGGCTGTAAAAGAGAGCCCCTAACTGAATTCCTATGGATGCTTACTAGAGCATATACATGTACCTCCATTTTCTCTCTACTACTAGTATATATACATTAATCATGGTATTGAGGAAGTGCACTTTTTTTAGACATGTTAAATAGAAAAAAATATCTGACATGTTAGATAGAGAAAATCATATATTTGGCATTATTTTAAACTTAGTATGCTATATACAAAGAAAACACTTTTGTAACAGTGCATGACTTACAAGTCTTACAATGAGATGCTCTGGCAAGTCAAACACTGAAGGGATAGCATTTTCTCTTAGACGGGTGGTCTGTCCGGTCGATCTTGTCCAGGTCCGATTCCAGGAAATGTTCACTGCACACAAGAGATCGATCCCCTGGTTGGACAACTTCCCTGCGGCAGGCCCTCACCCATTCTCTGTGAATATGAGCTTTCTTTTCCTTATTTGGGAACCTTGAAATAGAACACATGCATTATCATCCATGCCATTGTGTCAGCTAGAGCAGTTAAAAAAAAATAAACAGAACCTTAAATTATAACATAAAGGTAGATGGTGGGCAAAATTACCTAGGATGCCTCAGGCTCATATATATCAGGTTGAGGAGGATGAGTGCAACTAATGGCTACCGTAAAATGTATCATAAAGATATTTGTTGCCACCTTTTTGTATATGAATATATGATATTACTAATAATCAGTGCCTGATAGTGGTAGTGGTAATCAACATGCCATAGCCGGCATATATGCAAAAACTGCGATATCAAAGACAATGTTCGGATTAGGTATCATTGGACAAGCATCCAAAAAATTCATGGATAAATACGTGAACTGTAGTTTAGTTAAACAAGCGTACGATGATTGAAGCAGTTTAGTAAATGGGGCGCTACTATTCGCTATCACTATTTTATCAAATTTCATACAAATAATGGCTCGGAATTCTTTTAATATCTTATGCCAAACTTTTATATACACACACGTATTACATTAGCGATACGCGTAAACGTTGGCTGCCCTGTAAAAAACTTGCTAAGTTAAAAGCCGTATGAAAATTGTAACCGAAATCACTGTGTGGCAAGTGGTAGATTTGCAGCCTCAAACTCACACAGATGGCGCTCTCGCTCTAGCTCAAATCTACACTGCCATAACCTGTATGCATACAGGCGGTATGTTCGCCTTCAAGGTGTTGATCAACATGTAGCAGGCCGTCCATAGACTGAGGCGCTGAATAAGCATCGAACAGAATTAATTAAAATACTCACACTGTTACTTCGCTTACACAACATACACTTTATTATAGTTAAATAACTACAGCATATGCTCTATGCTCCGCTCGAAACTTTTGCCAGCTCTATGATGCGATTTCTGGCAAAGTTGTCTGGACACATTTCATTACACACAAAAACACGAACGGTCGCTCACCTGACTACGCCACCTGATCGATCTCACGAATACAAAACCAAAAATAATTTTACTTCTAAATGCTTTCTCCACGTCACGAGCATCCAACTTGCCGTGCCCAATGCCTAATTATTGCCACTCTAGTGCCGATTTCGGTGCGCGAAAAAATGCCAAAAAGGCCTTTTCTAGAGACGAAGTAGTGCAACGGTGAACAATCTCGGAGGCTTACTGTTATACGCCTCCTTAAAGGAGCAGAAGAGAGACGTCTATCGACTGAAATTTTCTGCTCATGACCCCATGATTTCGACCTTTCCCTCTCACGCGTCACTCGAACCTTTTCAAAGGTGCTATACTCCACGAGCTGAGATATCGCTCTCGGAAAGACGCCCCAAAACACCCAGAAATCAATGTTTCGTTCATGCCGGTCTCCCACTGCGTAGTGTTAGAACGAGGGTTCTAGGGTCAAAATGCAAAGGATTAAAGTTAAGATATTTTTACACTGTTAGTGTAGTATTGCCACCAATAGCAGTAAAACGAAGATACATTATCTATTTCTTGACACCACATGTGCCCTTGTCAAACAATTAGTGTATTTTATGTAAAATACATGCAAATCATGTACGAATGCGATATGCTACATGTTTACATAAAACATAGTATAATGTTATTGAGCATGCATGTGACTAAAAACATGCTAGAGCACTAGCAATCATAACAGATTTTCATTACCATAAAACTCAATTATTCGACTTCCTTGGCAAAAAGCGCACTCTTTAACATGTGGCTTTAAGGTGTTGATCAACAGTAGAGGCCGTCCATAGGCTGCAGGCCTGAATAAGCATCGAACCAAGATATTATTAAAAATACTCACACTGTTACTTCGCTGTACACAACATACACTTTATCATGTTAAATAACTACAGATTCCATGCTCTATCGCTCCCCCGCTCGAAACTTTTGCCAGCTCATGCCATGCGAATTTCTGCCAAGTTTGTCTGACCCATCTTCCATACACAAAAACACGAACCGGTCGCTCTGACTACGCCACCTGACGGAATCTCACGAATACAAACAACAAATAATTTTACTTCTAATGCTTCTCCACTCGTCCACGAGGCATCCAACTTGCGTGCACAATGCTAATTAATTGCACTCTAGTGCCGAATTCGGACC